TGCGTCATCTAGCAGGTGTTGGATTCACTTTCCATGTTCTCTTCTTTTTTTTAGAGGTAACTCCGAGTGTACTGTCACCTGAAATAGCCCTGTCTTCTAAATTTTGACACTGTATCCATCCTCGCATTGGTCACGTCTGCTGCCTATACTTTGAATAGGTCTTTATCTCCTAGATTTCTGTTTGGTACCTGTTACAGCTTATCTCCAGATATCTCCCCCTAAAATCTCATGTGATTGTAGGTAGGACTTTTTGGAGGTGGCTGGATGTAGGTTGTGTGATACTGGGATTAAGGGTGTGTGATAACTAAATTGGTTTAGTGTTTAATGGAGATTCAACCCTCGGTGGGTGGCAACAGTAAATAGTCTTGTAGCCTGGCTGGGATATAAAGGGACAGAAGAAGGCTGCTTGCTGCTTCACTGTCTTCTTCCTGCTTTGCCTTGGACTGTTTATCCTCTGCAGTGCCACTCTGCCATGCCACCTTGCCTTAGAGTCAGCCAACCTTGAATTGAAACCTGTACAAACTGTGAGCCAAAATAAAGTTTTCATCCTTTAATTTGTAGGTGTTGGATATTTTGTCTCAACAATGAGAAAAATAACTTAAGACAATACCGTTTTATGGACTATACTTTTTTGCTAAAGTGGTCATTTACTGGGGACTCCTGAAACATTACCAGAAACCTCTGCAGTAGTCTTCAGTTTCCTACTCAGTGTACGATGCAGACCTGAGGGAAAAAACCCTAAAAGACAGAGCTAAGAGACAGAAAGTAGGGCACCAGAACAACTAATGCTGGTGCAACCTTCAAAGGCACCGGCCAGTCCAAGCCACTGATTTTTATTAGTGATCAATTGGAGGGGTTGGGGATTTAGCTCAGTGATGCCACCTCCTGCCTCGAAAGTGTAAGGTCCCGAGTTCAATCCCTGGTACCAAAAAAAAAAAAAAAAAAAAAAAAAAGAAAAGAAAGTAATCAATTGGAGCAAAGGCAACAGCTATGCACAAGGGCAGAACTATGTGAGAAAATGTACAGTCATGTGGCTTCTATAGAAATTAATGTAAGCAAGGCTTGTTAAAGACAAGACAAAGCTTTCTTGAATTAAGAACAGAATAGACAAAATATCATTGTAATTAGAACATTGTCCTTCTACTTAAAGGAGGTTTTAGTTGTGGGATTGAATTTAGATGCCATACTCACTTCTATAAACAAACCAGTTGTGGTGTTATGCACTCTTTACAGCCTCTACTGCTTACAGCTTGCTTTGGGGCATAATCAGTATTGCAGTCTCTTGCATTCATTCATTTTTGTTTGTTGTTGTTGTTGTTTTTTTTTTTTTTGGTACCGGGGATTGAACTCGGGTCCTTGCGCTTGCAAGGCAGGCCACCGAACCGCTGAGCTAAATCCCCGGCCCCAGTCATTCATGTTTTTATAATTTTGTTTATCTTGGCTAGCTTTTTATTAGTGTCTTCTATAATTTCACTCCTCATTTTATTACATCCATTATCTCTTTAAAACTAAATCATTGTTGAGCTTGCCCAGTACCTTATTGATTTTTTTTTAATCTTGTCTTTTATCATGTCATATATTTAAGCTGTTTGGCTTTGGCCTTCCTCCCCATTGATACCCCAGGGATCAGCTTTGGGAGAGCTGGGAGTTTTCAGAGACCTTTTGTTGCCTTGCCTTCTCGTGTTTGTATTGTTTTGTTTTGTGTGCTGAGTTTGATTACAGTGGAAAAACTTTGTTGCTAGTATGGAGATCTCATTAGGCAATGTCTGCTTTTCAATGATGCTCTCTAGATTTGCATAACTATAGGCTCTTGTGTCTGTCCCAAGGTCCAACCATCTCTTTTTTTTTTTTTTTTCCCCAGCTTTAATTGAGTTTATTGGTACATTTTAGGGATACAGTACAGTTACATTCATTGTTGGGATCTTGTACCTCTACATGACAAGTCTTGATTCTCATTTTTTCCCCTTACCTCTGCCCTCCCTTCACCCCCTCCTCCCCTCCCCATCTACAAACACTTTATTTTCATCTTTTCATTCTCTCACATTTTTTTCTTTTTAACCATCTCTTTCATTTGGAGAAAAGAGTGCAGTGTAATTGGCCCAGCACCCAGTTCTCTGGAAATGATCCACAGTATTGATGATAAAAAGGCAAAGGAGATACTGTTATATAGTTTAAAAAAAAGTAACAACTATGGTACCCAGGTAATAACACAATCAGCAACAATAATAGAGTCAAAGACATTTAGATATGGACATACCATGAGAACCAATAAAAGCTATCAGTGTACCACCCTTAACCATAGAAATAAGATCTGTAATTATAGACACAAAGACCAACCAAATATTGATAGAGTAAAAACATCTACTAAATGCAACAGCTATACCAACATTAACAGTAGAAAAGAATTCTAAAGTAATGCTAACTAGTAAAAATGGAGGCTGGGTGGAGAAAGGGAGAAGAAAGAAGCAAAAATTTAAAAACTAATGAAAAGGAAGATGAGAAGAAGGAGAGGAAAACGAGATAAAGGAGCCTATTAAGGAGTAAAAGAAAATTAATAGCATTAGGTAAAAGTAACAAACGGCCAGGGATTTAGCTCAGTGGTTCTGTTGCCTGCCTTGCAAGTACAAGGACCAGAGTTCAATCCCCGGTACCAAAAAAAAAAAAAAAACCAAAACAAAAAAACAAACAAAAAAGGAAGAAGAGCAAAGTAAAGAAAAAGAACAAATAAAAGGAAAAAAGAGATAGTTTGAATAATTTGAAAATTAAATTAAGAGGGCTGGGGATTTAGCTCAGTGGTTCCACTGCCTGCCTCAAAAATGCAAGGTCCTGAGTTCAATCCCTGGTATAAATAAATAAATAAATAAAATTAAAAATTTTTTACAAGAGTTAAAAAAAAAAAAAATTCCTCTTGAATCAGTGGCTTCTTCCAGTGTCTGAATTATTGGAATCCATCAGATATGGGGAAGGGATAATGAATCACTTTCAAGACCTGTCATGTTTCTACACTCATGTTTTGTGTGTAAATGTCGAATCCTGCCCACCTTCCACCCTAGGGCTGGCAGCTTGGTTTCTGTATTCCTCTGTGTACCTGAGTCAAAGCTTTCTCTTCTTAGCTTTATAGCTTGTGGGTTTGTGAGTTGCTCGCCCAGGGCTCCAGAGACCCTTCTGTCTGCATACCCCACACTGTGGCATCTGTGTAAGCCAGAGCTCACATTGGTGATGGGGAAAGTAAGCAGACCATTGAATTCTGTGCTGGATGTAGGCAGCAGGGTGGGATTCAAGCAGACTTCCAGGTTCATGTCTGCACTTTCAAACCTAGCCCCTTCTGCAAGCTACACATGATTGGCCTGGCTTCTCCCCATGTATGGCGGGACCCCATGTCCTTCCCAGACTGAGCTTACTGTTCTCAGGGAGGTCTGTGTCTAGCTCTACCCTCTCTGTGACTGTCCTTGTGGCTGTCTCCCACCCAGGCACTGTGGTAGGGTGAAACCAGAAACCCTGAAGTACGATCCTTCTGTAGCTGTTCTGTGGCTGTCTCAACAATTAACCCCTTCCCTAAATGGCTTCTGATTATAAACCACTGGATTTCTTTTCCAGTTCTAGCTTACTATGCTGAAGGAGTCATTTTCAAAGTTAAAACCTTATGCTGTTTTTGCATTTACAATAGCTGTGGGCTTTTCCTGGGGCTAACACTGCTAGTCTGGTCCATTGTTTCTCCCTGACACTGCCTACCCTCTCCAGGCTTACCTTGTGTCAGCAGAGACAAGTCACTCATCCTAGGAACTGGGTTCACTTTCTAGACAGCTTCGTTTACTCTGAGTTGTGCTCTGTTTTTCACACTTCTGTGTAGTTTCTAGTTTTCCTGTCAGCCCCTCTTGATTCCCAGAGATCTACTTTTTTTTTCTCTTTACCAAGTTGTTTTGTAGGTTTTTCAATTCCAGGTCTGAGACAGACTGTATATTTCTTCTAAGTACTTTTTGTTTGTTTTGGGGGAGAATGGTCTCTTTGTGTTGCCAAGGCTGGCTTCAAACTCAGATTCTCCTGCCTTCACCTCTCTAGTAGCTAGGATTATAGACGTGTGCCACTGTGCCCAGATCTAAGTACTTTTATTGGCATGCCTTGATTGGAATACCTTTATTGACATGCCTTCCAAGCAGGGTGGCACATGTTTGTAGTTCTAGATGCTTGGGAGACTGAGGCAGGAGGACCTCGGGAGCCCAGGAGTTCAAGACCAGTCTGGGCAGCATAACAAGGTTCTGTCTCTCAGCTGGGCGTGGTGGCACATGCCTGTAATCCCAGCACTGGGGAAGCTGAGGCAGGAGGATCACTGTGAGTTTGAGACCAGCCTGGGCTACATAGTGAGTTGCAGGTCTGTCTCAATTACATAGTGAGACCCTGTCTCAAAAAAAACAAAAAAAAAAAACAAGGAACATCTGGCCTTATTTTCTGAGAAATGCCTTCCTTTTCTTCAGGATCTATTACTGATTTATGTGTTATATTTCCTTGAAATTACACAAAATAAATGTAAAATGAAAAAGCTGTACAAATGAGTCCTTTCTTGGGGATGTATGTCTTATTTACTCCTTAGAAGATTTTGTAATAAATTCAGGGCCTTTAATATCAAGATCTATAACAGGACAGAATTCTTGGAACTATTACTCACCTAGAATAAATGTCTCAGTCCTGCACAAGCTATTTCAAGTGTTTTGTAATGAATAATATTTGGTTTTTTTCCCCCACAGTTTCTGGGATCTAACCCAGGGACTTGCACATCTTAGGCAAGAACTCTGCAACTGAGTTATACCCCTAGTCCTCAAGATTTTTTACCCTAGAAATTAATAAGGTCACTTGTTCGGTGTCCGTAGATGTACAGAATTTCATGTGAGGTTTATCGGTGCGGACAGGTTAGATACTGTGCCTACTTAGATGAACCTCCTGGGTGAGTTTTATCTCTTTTTATCACTATGTGGAACTACTTCGTGGTTTTGTTTCCCTCACAGAAGTTGCCCCCTAAGCGGCCAGAACTCCCTCCAACTCTAATGAGAATGAAGGATGAGCCTGAAGTAGAAGAGGAGGAAGACGAGGAAGAGGAGGAAGAGAAAGAAAAAGAGGAGCATGAGAAGACAATGGAGGGTGGAAGCAGTGGGCTGCTGCCAGAGACAGAGGCGGCAGCAGGGCAGGAAATGAGTGCCCCGGCAGGTCCCACGTGTTCTGAGGAAGCAAAGGGTGGTGGTAATGTCTCTCTTCTGCTTCCTGTGCTGTTCATTATGGCATTCGGATTAATCGTGGATAGGGTTCGTAAAGCAGGCCAGTTCTTGCCTGTGCATTTTCACTTTATATATGTGATAATGCTGGCTCTGTAGCAAGAAAACGTTTTTATTAGTCTTCTTTTCTTTTTCCTGCCAGTCATTATTCCACTGCAAATTAAGGTCAGGTATTGCAGTCTCTTGCAGAATTACAGAAGATTGAAATCTTTGGAATCTGAAGCCACAGCTGCTGGGGAATAATCCTGAGCTTCTGCCCCTTGTATAAATAAGCAGGAGGGCTGTGTACTCTGGATGGTGGAGCCTGATCAAGTGGTTTTACTCATTTCCCTCCCCATCCCTAAAACAGGGCTAAGTGTAACGGCCTGGTGGATTGCAGTTCTCAAGGAGGATCATGCCGATGGGGATGTAACTCAGGAGTACGGTGCTTACCTACCATGCATGAGGTGCTGGGTTCAATCTCCAGTACCGTCAGAGAAAAAAGAGCTAAGGTTGCTGGATGTGGTGGCACATGTCTGTAATTTCAGCTACTTGGGAGACTGAGGCAGGAGGGTTTCGAGTTCAAGGCCAGCCTGGGCAACTTGGTGAGATCCTGTCTCAAAAAAAAAAAGGAAAGAAAAAATAAAGGATAATGTTTCACTCATCTTTTTGTCTATACCACCCAGTAGAGAATCTGACAGGTAGTAATGACCCCCTTAGAAAATATTTGATGAAAAAATGTGGAAATAAGGAATTGAGTTTATTTATTTATAGTTTGTGTGTGTGTGTGTGTGTGTGTGTGTGTGTGTGTGTGTGTGTGGTTTTGTTGTGTTGTGTTGTTTGTACTGGGGATTGAATCCAGTTCTACCGCAGGGAGCTATACCCCTAGCTGCCACATCCACGTATACAGGGTCTGTCTGAGTTGCCTACGTTGGCCTTGAGCTTATGATCCTCTTGCTTCAGCTTCCCAAGTAGCTGGAATTACAGGCGTGTGTCACCATGCCTGGCTGAAGAGATTGATTTTTAAATTGTTTTTGGTTATAAAGAAATACATATTTATTTTAGGTGGATCATACATAAAAGTCCAGAGAAGACTTTCATCCCTAGAAATTATAGCTTATCTTGTAGTATACTCTTATCCCCAACTACCTTATTTTTTTGCGGGTTATTAAACTGCTTATATGGTAAAATCTCACAGAGAAGAGAGAACATGAGGAAAAAATACAAACTGGAATTAAATGTGTGTGGGAATACTGTGTATATCAGCTTCCAAACAGTCTAGACTTGGCTACCTAAAAACACAAGCCCTGAAATGTAGCTCTTCTCTTACATCACCTCTAGGTGTCTGAGGAACAGAAAGTTACTCATTGTGCATCTGTGAAAGGTGCATCTGTTTGTTGGTTATTGGCAAAATGCCTTAGCTTTTAAAAAGGTATTTAGACATACTGTTTTTGACTCTGATCCTGGTATTCCCTTGGTCTGTACCAGCAGAAAAGGGAAGGATAGGTAGATATATTGATATCTGTATTTGTATCTGTATCTGTATCTGTATCTCTGCCTGTATATATCTTGTTTGTTGAGGGAACCAAAATAGTATGTGTGGGAAAAGCATAGATTTGCAGGTTTTAAAATTTGTTTTATAAGATTAAATTATTAGTAAATCTGCAGCTGTTGAAGGATTATTCCAGGCCCTTTTCCCTCTGTTTTCTCACTTATTTTTTTACAGCATGAGGATCATACCGTTTATTTTATTGTATAGTCTGCCCTCCCCCTATTTCTTAAAATTTTTTAAAATGTGGTTTTTGCTAAGGGGCATAGTGGTACATTGCATGTTTGTATTATAATTTGTTTCAGATATTTGTTAATTTTTTGCTATTATAAGCAGACTTGTATGTAAATAATAAATCTTGATGTTCAACTCTGATTTAAAAAAAAATATCCCTGAGAGTAGAATTCTAGGCCAAGGAGTTTGTAAATTTTTAAGACTTTTGATAACTATTGCCACTGCAAGTTTTTTTTAATTTGTTGCTTTTTTCTTTTCTTTTCTTTCTTTCTTTCTGTTTTCTGTTTTCTTTTCTTTCTTTTTTTTTTTTTTTTTTTTTTTTGTACTGGGGATTGAACTCAGGACCTTGTGCTTATGAGGCAGGTGGCGAAACCACTGAGCCAAATTCCCAGCCCACCACTGCTAGTTTTTAAAGTGGAAAATTGCTGGTTCCCTGTTAGACGTCTTGAGTCATATTTATTAAAAACCTTAGGATTGGGGACTTAGCTCAGTGGTTCTGCCACCTGCCTCACAAGTGCAAGGTCCTGAGTTCAATCCCCGATTAAAAAAAAAAAAAAAAAAAAAGATAGGGTGAGGTTAATGGTAGTAAAACTGGATGCTGTACGTAGTTTCTCTTGCTTTTTTGTTTGTTTGTTTTTTTTCATTCTACCGTGAATTAAATATGCTTTGGTACTCGTTTTTATAGAGAACATGCCTCAACTCAGCCAAGTAGAACAGAATAAAGGTGATGAAAAGACTAGTGAGACAGCTTCATCACGAGAGAAGCCCTCAGGTAAGCAGCACAGCAGGCTCTGCTGCTGCTCTGCCTATTGGTACCACCAGGTTTCGTGGGGAGGGTTGGCGGCTGACCTGTGACATGGCACAGACATGGCCAGACAGCTGCTAGAGACTTGCCACCACCTGGTCCCTGGTGAAATGAATGTGTAAGGGGTCTGTGCTTGATGCCAACCCTTTTGTCTTTCTTTTACTCCTTGAACCTGCTGTGGCACCCTCTCTCTGCCCTACAAAGCTCCTAATGCCTTGATGCTTCTGTCTGGCCAGGCAAAGCCCAACCCAGTTTGACATCTTCCCAAATCAAATATGAGTTCCTTTAAAGTGATTCCAAACCTATGAAAATAAATTAGTTGAAAGGATGGTCTACTAGAAAATTTGCTTTTGTCTGGTTTTACTTGTAATGGTTAAACCTTGGAATAATAAAATCAATGTCATTATTTTCAAGCTTGTAGAATAGGCTTAAGGTTTAAAAACTTGGGATATTAGTGAAGGAAAGAATTCTCTCTCCTTTATTTCTTTATATTTTGTGGTATTGACTAGAGAACCCAGAACTTGTCACATGTTAGACAAAGCTTTACCACTAAGCTATATCCCAGCCCTTTTTATTTTATCTTCACACAAAATCTCATTAAGTTGACCATGCTGACATCAAATTTTGAATCCCTCTGTGTCCAGCCCTTCTTAGTACAGCTTTTACAGTGGTAAATATTACTAATTTTTAAAAGTATTTCCAACACCCTTGAGGAATTTTTTCTTTTTATATTCCTTTTCTGAAAGTAGTCATTACTATTTTTTTCTTAAATTAGCATCAAAGAATGAATGTGAGAACAGCACTGATGAATTGAAGAAAAAGAAAGTTCCTGGTCCAGGCAAAGTAAGTACCTCACTCCTAAAGTAAACATGAATGTACTTGTCATACCTGAGTGTAAATCTTTGGAGACCAACTTAACAGAGTTCCCATCAGCTTTATCTCCTCCTAGAAACCTGGACTCTTAAATTTTTATTTTTGTGAATTCTCTATTCTTGTCTCTGTCTACCCTGTTTCTTACTGCTCACATTTGTGACTCTTCATATCCTAGTATATAAAGACATTACAATAATGTTCTTATTTTTCTCCTTCATTACACAAATGATAATTAATGTACCCCGTTCTGTATCTTAATGTTTTTAAACTATTGTGAAGATTGTTCTATATCAGTATATCAAGGGCTTCCTACTTCTTAGATATACCTTACTGAACCAGTTTTCTGCAGATGGACCCTTGGCTTTCTTCTAGTCTTTTATTACACCAGTGCCATAATGAGTAATCTTCTGTTTGAACTTGTAGGGGTATAGTAAGCCCCCAGAAGTAGGGTTGCCAGGTTATATCAGGAGGCCTCAGGTTACTCATGAGAGGACTCAGCACACGGCTGTACTTGCAGCTGTGATTTCCTACAGAGAAGGGCACCAGGCACAACAGCAAGCGGGGAGGCACCTGGGATGAAATCGTGAGGAGACAAGGTCGAGGTGCGTGCTTCGAAGGGCCCTCTTCCCACGAAGACACAAAGGACGTGCTTAGCTCCCTAGCTGTGAGTCGCCGCAGACTTGAAATGTTGCTAACTAGAAACTCACTTGACATTCAGCCCAGGATGTTTGTTGGGGATTGATCAGACTTTCCCTGCCTGGCCTGTACCCAAATTCCAGACTCCCAGGCAGAAAGCAGGTGGGCAAACCACAGTAAGTCATCCGTATCAGTTAGGCCCCCTTACAAAGGCTAGCAGTCAAAGGCTAGCAGTCAGGCTTGTTTTGTTAGCTCTTTTCTCCACCCGAGTCAAAAGATGAGTGCCAGATTTCCCTCCCTGGGGTTACTCCATTAAGTATTTATATCTGCAGTATTTTACCTCCCCAGTTAAGGAATGCCACATCATTCTCATTGGCTGGAAAATCAGCTCATTAAAGTTTTGTGGAAAAGTTCAAAATTTAGAAAGAGAATGCTCCCTCAAATAGGTTTTTGTTTTTGTTTTTTGGTACCAGGGATCGAACTTGGGTCCTTGTGCTTTCGAGGCAGCACTGGAACCACAGAGCTAAATCCCTGGCCCTCAAATAGGTTATTGATGTCAAGATCACTAATGGGCTGGGCAGAGTAGCACATGCCACAATTCAGGAGGCTGAGGCAGGAGGGTGACTGCAAGTTCAAGGCCAGCCTGGGGTACATAGTGAGACCTTGTCTAAAAAAAAAAAGGAAAAAAATCACTAATGGAAGCTTTTCTCTTTTAGTTTTTGTCTGCGGACACATATAAGGATAGTAATTCTTAAATTTTTTGAGTAGTATAATCTGTCTTTTCTTTACAGTTTCTCCCCATACTTTCTTCGAAATATCCTGAAGATGACCCAGACTACTGTGTGTGGGTTCCACCTGAAGGTACATTGTTTTAATTTTTTCTCCCTCTAAGATTTATTTATGTTTTTGTAGTTAATGTATATTTAAAATTCAAAATAAGAAAGTTACAAGAATATGCAGTGAAAGCTTCTAAAGTAAGCTGGGCGTTTTTGTGCATGCCTGTAATTATAGCACTCAGGAGGCTGAGGCAGGAGGATCATGAGTTCAAAGCCAGTGAATTCAAGACCAGCTTGGACTATAGAGTGAGACCCTATCTAAAAAAAAGAGAAAAAGATCAAATATAATTTGTGTACCCTGTTTGGATCCTTAAAGAACTGTTAAAAAATAATCCAGTCAGATAATTTTGAACACTAGCTCAATATTTGATGAAAGCAAGAAATAATTTTTTGAATGATGTTATGTTGGGGGGGTCAAGTTCATTTTTAAAATTATTTATTTACTTATTTGAGGCAGGGTCTCACTATGTATATAGTTCATGCTGACCTTGAACTCACTATGTAGTCCAGGCTGGCCTCAAATTCATAGTAATCCTCTTGTCTCAGCTTCCCAAGCGCTGCAACTACCTGCGTGCACCACCACAGCCACCACGACTGATGGGGGCAAAGTTCTTACGTTTATGCAGATGGGTTTACAGATGGAATGACATCTGGGACTTACTTTAAAGTAATCCAGTGGCAGAGGATGAGAGAAGGCCGTGAAAACTGATAGATAAAGCAGGATGGTGATAATTATTGAATCTGGGTGAAGAGTAGAGGGCTTCATTGAAGTTTTTTTATTTACTTTTTGTTTGGTTTTGTTTGAGACAGGGTCTCACTGTGTAGTCTGGGCTGGCCTGGAACTCTCAGTGATCCTCCCAGCTCAGCCTCCCAAGTGCTGGGATTACAGGTGTGCGCCACACACCCAGCTTCTTTTTACTTTTGCATGTGTTTTAACTTTATTAACAGCAGCAAGAAAATAAATCTTTAGGCTGTGCCTCAGCTGCTCGTTTGTTTTTCTCTAAGCACCCAAATACTGCCAGTTTCTTATTAATTCCCCAGTAATGCAAAAAGAAAGAAAGAGAAGCAAGCAAGCGTTCTGGAGATAATCTAAATTTCATTCTGTAAAGATTGTACTGGCTTTGTGCCCATAAATTCACATTTGGGGGAATGAATGAGATGCCTTTTTCCCCATGTTCTCATGCGTGTTGCTTTTTCCATGATGATACTTCTAAGATACTAGTCATTAACAGAAATTTAGTTACTAGAAGTGCAGTTGGCTTTTTATCTGCTAATAAATATTAGGGTAAAAGTGAAAAAATGACTGTATTCTGAAGTTGTATACAAAAGTGAAATTTCTACTAGAGAAGAAACTTCCTTATTTGTTTTACTTTTGCCCTATTGATATCTGGATATCTTTTCCCTCTGATTTTGGAAAAGTAAATATACTTCTTTCTTATTTTATACTTTGATGTAGGTCAAAGTGGAGATGGCAGAACCCATCTTAATGACAAGTATGGCTACTGATTTCCTCCGACTCCCAAAGGAAGACCTTGGGGACCGTGTACATAAGACATTTGGAACGCTCTGTCAGGTTGAGACCAGAGAAGCACAGATGATCATTTGTAAAGTCTGGTGACTGGCCTTTTCTTCCTTGGCTGCTTAAATTTATCTGCCCTTCTGATTCTCCAGAGATTTTGGTATTTATATCTAAAAGTGTTCGTGTATATATGTAAAAAGGAAACCACATACTTCGAGAACTAGAAAAGTGAGACATGTGACTCTTATAAAATGAGAATATACCAAAATGTGTGTAGTATTAATTTAAGGTCAAGCCTCTTGATTTAGTCTGAAGGACTGTGGGCCTATGGCTGGCCCAGCATGTGTGAGGTCCTGGGTTTGATCCCCACATCATGACAAGACAAAGTAAAACCAAAAAAGAGATCAGGCTTTTCCTGAGCACTAGGAATGCCGCTGGCAGTCAGGCTGTAGAAGTCACAGATATCGTGTCCTCAAATAACTGTTGAAGTAAGGTCTGTCTTGGGTTTGATATTTTTGTCCCTAGGGCTAAAAATAGATTTACAGTGGGGCTTCGTACTGACTTGAAGTGTAATTTCCCTACCAGGTTTGAGAACAGACCCTGACTTACCAGGACATAGTTAACCTTAACACCATCACATGCACTCGGTCACCAGTCTGATAAAATCTCAGCCCAACGAATGTTCTGGATTCTGTGTGACTAATCATTTAGTTATCCCTCCTCTTGTGGAGGGTTGCAAATAAGGTCACGGAACGAAAAGCAGAATGTGTTCTGCTCGGGGTAGGACTTCTCACCTCGGTGGAGAGGGGAATAAAAGTTCTTTCCTTCCTGGAAACAGGAGGAAATGCAGGCTGTCTTACTCCCTCCTCCCTTCCCCATCATTAATGCCTTCCTTCAGTAGAAAGGAAAGTCCGAGAGTAAAGCAGGGTGGAGAGCATGTAGGGTAGGTTGAAGGCAGAAACACTCAGCAGGAAAATTGCTACATCCCAGCTGGAGAGTGGATGAGGCTGTTGCTTTCCTAAAATGGACTATGTATGAGGGCAGACAGGAAGCAGTAATGAGCACTTCCGTTACCTCGGCAGATGCGGTAAGTTTGGTCCACTGTAGTAAGGCATAGTGGCACACGCCTGAAATCCCAGCACTGAGTGAAGCTGAGGGAAGAAGATCACAAGTTTGAGCCCAGCCTGAGAAATTTAGTGAGACCCTGCCTCAGAATAAAAATTAATAAACTCAAAAAAAAAGAAAAAATAAAAATAAAAAGGGCTGGGAATAACCAAATGTGGTAGCATATGCTTATAATCCCAACACTGTGGTAGACTGAGGTAGGAGGATCGAAAGTTCGAGCCCAGCCCGGGCAACTTAGACCCTGTCTCAAAAGAAAAAAAAAATGGCTAGACCGTAGCTTAGTGTGAAGGCCCTTGGCCCAGTCTCTGGTACCCACTCTGTACCCCAAAAAAGTGTTGAGGGGCTGGGATATAGCTCAGTAGTAGAATGCCCTTAAGATCCATCCCCAGCTCAAAAAAGGAAGCAGTGTTGGTACTGTGGGAAACTCATTTTGGACGTCATTCAGGCTGATTAACTGCAGAACTGGTAGAGGATGTAAGAAGTGGCAGGAATCTGGGGGCAGAGTGACCGTAACTCCTTGGATCCAAGTGGTGAACAGAGGTTTGAGTCCTATCAGTGGTCTTCAGAGGTGAAACCCTATTCAGACACAGTTGTATACGGAACCCTAATACATGACCAGAGGAAAATATCCCTGCTCCGGGTGAAGCGAAGGCACAGGAGTTGGAGCCGCAAACACGCACGCACACCCTGTCCTCGCTGTGCACTCTCAGTGACACTGAGTGATCCTAGACGCTCCATGGAGCACAGCCTGTCTCGAGGAGGCAGATGTCTCAGGGTTCTGTGGACAGGAGGTGTGGTCTCAGGTCTAAAGACACTGAAAGCAAACAATTCCATAGGCCAGAAGGAAATCTGAATTGGAAGTGTACAGCTGACATCAGTGGCTGGCGGGCTTGATTTAAAAGCCCTGCACATGAGTCTTTGCTCCCTTTTACTGAGCAGGAGTTCTGTCGTCTCATGGAGAAGCAGCAAGGCTTCCTGCTCTGGGAAACTCAGGGGCTGCGCATCAAATGAGAAAATGGAAGCGGATTCACTTTCTAGGCTTGTACAGATGTCAGCAGTTATTATCACAGAAAGGAGACGGGGCCTAGCATCTGCTTCTGACCTTTTGCATCTGTGAAGGAAAACACCGTTAATACCTCATTTCCCTGAAAGTAAGACCTTACCAGGACATACGCCCTATGTGATTTTTCAGGATGTCCGAAAATAAGCTCCAGGTAAGATCATCAGCCAGAGGGACACATTTAGTACACTCGTTGCAACATATGATGCATGTATTGAATTATGAAATGATAATATATAATGGAATATAAATAGTATTATCGACATTAATACTTAAATGATAATATAACTAAATATTTGTAAATACTCGAGTGAGTGTCTTTGGACAAGAGTTAAATGCCTAGGCCGGGTGTGGTGGCGCACGCCTGTAATCCCAGCACTGGGGAGGCCGAGGCAGGAGGATCGCTGTGAGTTTGAGACCAGCCTGGGCTACACAGTGAGACCCTGTCTCAAAAAACCAAAAAAAAAAAAAAAAGAGGTAAACGCCTATGTAAAAGATAAACTTAAGACTTGTGACCAGTGGAGCACAGACAATGCGTGAATAATGCGCACTTGTTAACAAGAGGACGTGTTCATGTCTAATGGGAACTTCACAACTCAGTACATCGTGTGTTGTAACCAGCATACTTAACGCACTCCTGTGAAGTCAAGAAACGTTCTCTGAGTTTTGTTGTCTCCAATTTTTTGTCACTTTTGTGTGGCCCATCATTCTTGTTGCCACTCCTGTCTCCTAAATTTTTTTTTTTTTTTTTTTTTTTTGGTACCGGGCATCGAACTCGGGTCCTGTGTTTGCAAAGCAGGCGCTGGAGCCACTGAGCTAAATCCCTGGCTCCTAAATCTTTTGTTAACCTTTGATTTAACGGAAACTTTGTGGAAGCCTTGCCTGCTCTATCTATGCAAGAGGTGGTAACGTGGCTGAAGAATTCACAGGCTGAAAGCATTGGCAGTGTTGCCAGTGCACGGTGAGCAGGCTGCATGGACAAGGGAGGTGGGGGTCAAGGGCTTCAAGATAACTGGAGTTACAAGGGTTCAGGCAGGAATTCGGGGTTTGGAGAGTTAGGACACGTTTCAGAGGAAGAGGACATGGCAATATTGGAATACATATAGATTGTTGTACGTGAAAAACAAGGCATCCCGGGCCAGGGGTTTAGCGCAGTGGTTTGGCTGCCTGTGTTGCAGGCACAAGGTCCTGAGTTCGATCCTTGGTACCAAAAAAAAAAAGGGAAAAGAAATATAAGGCATCCCCTGAAAATAAGCCGTATTGTGTCTTTTGGAGCAAAAATTAATATAAAACCTGGTCTTATTTTGGGGGAAATACAGTGGTCTGAAAACAGTTTCACTGCCCCGAAAATCCTATGCACTGCATTTATTTATTTTTTCCCCTCCTGCCCCTCGCAACCACTCTTCTTCTTACTCTCATCTTTTCAGGATGTCGTATAGTGAGATATTGTCTTAATTTTTTAAGAATACCAGGCTGGGGATGTGGCTCAGTGGCAGAATGCTTACCTACCATGAGTAAGGCTCATGAGTTTGATCCCGGCATTGTCAAAATACCTGCATAATTAAACATATCATAGAACATTCTTGAGCCTTTTTTAAAAGTGTTTTTTCTAAAATTAAGGATAATTAGAAAGGAAAATATTAAAAGCAGGGTAATCATTCTAAGGATATTTAGAGAACAGCCTGGGGTGATGGGCAGGGCTCTTGTGGATCAGTCAGATGCTCTTGGTTTGAGGGTGAAGAAACCAAGGCTTTGAGAAGGACAAGATGTGTTCACCACCTGCTGTCTCTGGAGCCTCAATGCAGTTAGTGCTGCTACGTGGTGGGCTTCCCTTCGGATGGAAACGAGATGGAATGTGTGCCCAGCCTACTCGCAGGCGTGGCCAAGAGGGTCGAATGATGGATGCAAAGACACTTTCTATGCCACAGTCTGCTGTTCAGTCACGAAGGCCTTGTCTGTCCCCTCTGTCCCTGAGGGTTGGAGTGATTTTCCCCACGCTGATTCACCCTCCTCTCCGGGTGTGGAGTCAGGGTGACTGCGGGTGTCTTGCTGGGCTTCCCTGGAGTTCATTATCAAAAGTTTTCTTCTTTCTTTCATTCTTTTTTTTATTATTATTTTAAAGAGATAGAAGATGTACTTCTTACATGGCATTCTTTCAGGGGTATAGATCCCTAAAAAGTCTCACTATCGTGTGGCTTATATTTTCCTTTCTTGTTTGTCTAGGTGTTGTTTTGTTTTGTTGGTCGCAGAGCTCCTCACCAGGTGGAGGAACTGCTTCAGGCCTCTAGTATCTAATAGCAAGAGAGCAACAAGCCAGTGAGATGGACAGGCATTGCTGAAGTGGGCAAGAAAAAGCAGAGTAAAGAGGTTCTGCTCAAGCGTCTCTTCTTTTCCTCTAAACTCTTTGAGAACGAGGACTCTTCTTGCTGGGTGTGCGCACTGTTCCTGTCACATTCAATTAATGTTTGTTGAGTGTGTGCTACGAATATTTTCCTGAAATTGTCCCGATTGGATAGGAAATGCTAAGGCTCACTATCTCCTTGAAGTTCACACCCTCACCCATTACTACTTTACTGGAACTGGAAGGAGTCAGCCCTTTTGGAAATAAGACCCCAATTCCCAACTTTGGAGCTATTAGCCGCAGCCTGAGGATCTGTTGCTTTGCCATTGAAATGCTGCCACCTCTTGGACAGGGAGTGACAAGTGACAAGCCAGCAGCTGCGGATGACTTCCTGAGAGTGGGCGCCAGAGGGAAGCCTGCCAGCCCTGTGGCAATCAAAAGCAGGAATGGGGCTGAGGTCCTGAGTAGCGGGAGCCGAGTTCCCATATAAGATTGGGTCCAACTAGATGCTGGACTGCTGGGAAGTGACATAAAACTCCTTGACCTTTGGGAAAGGGTCCCAGCATCAAACTGGTGTAGCCTTTCCTTGTAACTGGCCACTGTGATCCTGAGACTCCTCCCTTGACGTGGGCCTTGAGAGCAGTTTTCAAGATGTCTTTTGTCTCCGAGCAGACTTGTTCCTGTGTTGGGTTTAGAGGTTTGGTACACTGTAGTCCAGGGTGGAACTGAGACTTCTGTTGTTGGAGTTTTTGGGCAAAGGCCCTGGGTCTGGGGAACCAGCTCATCCACCTGTCCCGTCGCATTAGTTAAGGAGATAAGTTGTGGTGAAGGGCAGGAAAGGAGCTTTAACCAGCATGGCTGTGCTGGAAGCACAGAGGTTCAAGGTCTGTCTTCAGGGGTTTATAGGAAAGGAATAGAAGCAAGCATTGTGGGTTTGCATAGCTGGCTATATAGGTATCCTGGTCAGGCTGTGGTCTGGTGGCTTGCTAGCGCAGCACTGGTTCCATGAGGTTCTGGGACAGCCACTCTCTGAGGGGGGAGTCCAAGTCCCACCAGAGATGATGGCTCCTCCAGGGGACAGCCTCAGCTCCTGACGTGGGGTGACTCATCTGTGGGTGGTCTATGGGCTCTGAAGGTTCAGGACAATGACTCAAGACTTCTAAGCATCAGTCCAGGGAGTCTGGAGCTGGATGCTGTAAAAGCTGGCTATTGGATATCCCTGTAATTCCTAAAGTTACTTCAGTTACTCTTCTTGTGTCCTCAATCTTGAAGGGGATGAAGTAGGCCAAGTAAACTTAGGGCTAATAAAGCGAATAACACAGGCATTCCTGCAGGGCAGAGCTGAGCCAAGGTTGTGGGATAATAGGGAGATACATAAAATGAAGGCAGAGATGCCACGCTTTATCGTGCTTTTAATTACCCAGCAGGCATCTGCAGATCCAGATTTTAGTACCTGTTATGATGCCATAGGAGACCAGAAAGTCCCTCCCCTCAGGATGAACCTTTAAGAGGCAGGCTGGCGGGCTCAGCACGTGAGGGGACAGCGGCTCCCACTGAGGGTTGCCTTTCCCTTCTCCCTGCAGAGGTTTCAGGTTGTCTCCCTCGCCTCGTGACTCCTCACACATCCTCCTTCATCTTCGCCTTAGCGACTCCTCACACATCTCAGCCATCGCTGAGAGGGACGACTCTGAATGTTCTCCAATATCCGGAGAGCGAGGTCCACATTCTTTGGAGCCTTGAAGACCTTTATCATAGGGTTCTTGTACTTTTTGATCATGGTGACCTCACAGCGCCCTTGTCCTTCCCTTTATGCCACTTGATGAGACATTCCCGATACTCTGGTAGTACAGTAACAGGTTGGGAGCACACCTTGTCCTTTTCCTTCTGCCTGTATCTTCTGTGAGGCCTTGCTCCACAAGCCTTGAACTGCAGTTTCCTTGTCTGTTAAGTACAGAAGATAACACATACCTACTAGCATTGTTGTGGGGATTAACCAGAATATGTGTGAAATTTCAGTCCTGCTCAACACATAATTGCTTCCCCCAAATGGTAGCTGCTATTAAGATCTTTGTGGTTCTCCTTGCTCATGTTTGTTGGCATAAGCTCCTACTCCTTAGTAGACTTTATTTTTTAAAGTGGTTCCACGTAAACACGTGGTCATTTTATGTAAGGAATCTGAGCATGTGCAGATTAGGGTGCCTGCAGAGTCCTAGAGCCAATTCCCATGGACACCAAGGGATGACTGTGCTTAGGGACTTATTTATTAGCAGAAAATTCCTGATTGGTAGTGTCTTCTCCAAAATTAGAAAGAATCGTGCTTTATTTCTACTTCTGTTAGTCCTCATTCCAGTAGTGTATTATCTGTTCATTATACGTGTGCATGGGTTACTTACATTTGTAAGCTTTATGAGCTCTTGAAGTCAGGAGTTTATATTTTGTACTCCATCCCGTTTCGTAGCAGTTTACGAGATAGGTGCTTGGTTAACTGTTGGTTTCGGTGGGTTGGGGTTTGTAGGATAGGTTCTAGCCCCAGCCCTCCTACCCTTTGGTTTTCCTGGCAGAGGAAGGAAATCTCGCAGCTACGTTCAGTTCCAGGACCTTGCTCGAGACAAGCTGGACAAGTTGGGAACTGACCATTTTAGCAAGATTAATCCAGAGGCCCGGATTCTTGTCCTACTTGGGCCCAAACCAAGCAGGAACTACCCTTTCCCATTAAGGAGCTCTGGATTTCACCAGCTGGCTTTAATATGGATTTTAAATCCCACACTGGCCTTGGAAAACCCTGATCTTAAGGATTGGCTCAGGTTCACTTCTGCCTTTGTCTCGCACGCACAGCCCTTTGGAAGTCCAAGCAGCCATGGCAGAAAGTGACCACGTGGAGGCAGCAGAGATCCGCCACAATTCAGGGAACTGTCGGCAGCTGAAAGAAGGTAGGTATTTCAGAGCAGAAGAAGAAGAATCAGAAAAACACAAGACTGCAAAGGAGGCAAGGGCAGCAACGTGATTCATTTTACCAGTGCTTCTGGGGCCCAAGACCTGGAAGCAGCTAGGTAGCCAGGGACCATTGGTAAGATTCATAGGCTGCTTCCCAAATCTCTCCCAGCTTGTTAGGCACTGGCTTTCTCCTGGAGAAAGTCTTTCTCCAGTTACAGTGCACATTGTGTGGAAGAATGTGAGTATCGCTTCTTTATTCCTGACAGCTGTATTACAGCTGATGGTTTTTCACCCACCTCCCCTTTCTGAAGGAGGCTTCTGTCAGTCAGTGTTGAAAAGCAGAAGGAAGAGCTACCATCGTCTCTACTGAAGGAAGTAGCCTGGAAAGTTGAGTGACTCCTCAAAAGCACACTGAGCTCAGGTGGAACCAAATCGATCGGAGTTTCTTTGAATCGGGAGCCTTTGCTTATCCCTTCTCATTTTCAGTTGTTTATGTTTGTAAGGTGAGTGCTTTGTTGTTTTGTTTGTTTGCTTGTTTTGCCTTCCTGGAAATCAAATGGTATCTGGGGCCTCACACTCCACCACAGCACTATAAACTGGGGTTTTTAAGAGCAGGTGCAGCTGAATCATCTTTAGGTTTTTGAATGGTGCCCCTTCATCTTTAGAGCTACGCCTGGGTGTGCTGCAGAAGGTCTGTCCCTTCGGAGTTGGGTTTCGTGGCTCTCTTCCGGTACTGCTGTGATTGCAGTTAAGGCACAGCCCTAAGAAACACAGCGGAGGCCTTTAGTTGAGATTTTAACCCCTTTTTCTTTGTTGACTTAGTGGTACACATTTGCAATACAAATGATTACTTTACCTGTAGGGAATTTTAATCCCGGCCCAGCATTTCCACAAGGGCATCCCCTTGGCTGCCTAGTAATGCAGAAGGGTGATCGAATATGTCCTGTATTGTTGCCTACGGGCAGGGGATTTAGTTCAGTGGTTCTGCTGCCTGTCTCCAAAGCACAAGGACCCAAGTTTGATCCCCATACCAAAAACAAAAACATAGTGTTGCTTAGAATGAGGTCAACTTTTATAATGAATGTAAGAAAAAAATTAAGTAAACAGTAGTACTAAGCCACAAAACAAGAAGCATGAAGCAAATGTACTAATAGTTCAAGAAATTGTGGTGAGGGTGGAAGATGTAACAAAACTTCCTAGTTACTGTGTGTGTGTGTGCACGCGTGTGTGCGTGTGTTACCATGAATGGAACCCAGGGCCCTGAGTGTGCTAGGCTAGTGCTCTCCCACTGGGCTACTTCCCCAGCTTTTTTTTTTTTTTTTTTTTTTTTTTTTGGTGACAGGGTGTTGCTAAGTTGCATGGGTTGACTTCAAGCTTGTGTTCCTCTTGCCTTGGCCTTCTGAGTAATTGGAACTATGGGCACGCACAACCATGTCCAGCACAGGACAGATTCAAAGTCTGGCCACATAACCTTGGTCAGACTGCTGACCTTACACGAGCCTGTTCTCTCATCCGCGAAGTCGTTGGCGAGGAGTCCCTACCCTCTTCAGTCCAAGTGGCGCGTGTGCAAGCGTGCTGAGTGTGGAATGCACCATGTTGATGCCTGGCAATGCCAGGCCAGGGCCGCCTCCTTCCACCCCAGACATTAACTTCCAGCCGCCTGCACTGCCCAGGGGCCCCAGGACTGAGTCCATTTTAGCTTGTTGCCCACACCTAGGTTTGCCACTCTGGGTGGGGAGCCGGGAAGGACTGGAGAAGCCCTGGACTCAGTCTGGGAACAAGTCCCAGCACATGTCACTGTTTGCTTTGTCATCCTGATTCAGTGACCTCATCCGAGGAAGGGAGGTGCACAGGCGCTGTTCGCTTCCAGATACCTACGGAGGCTTCTGACATCTACTGTTTTCCTTGGCACGAAGAGCAGGCGCTGGCCTGTGATTTCTAAGGTCTGAGCTAATCTTGGAAGTGAAGAGCAGCACCTCCCGCAGCTGGCCTGACTCCCGCTTCTTGGGGAACTGCACAAGGGCAGAGGGCGCAGGGCAGGGCGGAGCCCAGGCTGTTGCCCTTGCTCCCTGGAGGGGTCCCGGGACACACATGCTGTCCCCACATCTTCACCACTCGTGTGTGGAGAGTGGGCATGTCGCCCGGAGGGGAGACGGAGCCTTAGCTGGGGTCCGCGGGGGACAGCCAGTGGGGAACAGTGGGCTTCATGAGCGCCACCACCTCCCATCTCTCTCACCCGCCACTACCTGGCCTTGGGAAACAGGTGGGCCTGCCTAGGCGGAAGGCCAGACACACCTTTCACTGCCAAGATTCCTTCCATCCCATCCCCTCTGGTGCCCTGGATCTCAAGTTTAGATAAATGATTTTATGGACCAAATTAGATTTGTTAATTTTTCATCTCCAGATTTTTTTTTTTTTTTTTTTTTTTGTTACCGGGGATCAAACTCAGGTCCTTGCACTTATGAGGCAGGTGGCAGAACCACTGAGCTAAATCCCCAGCCCTATCTCCAGATTTTTAGTAATCAAATATTTCCCAAGCTACAAAGAAATGTTTCAGATTAACAAGATAGAGAGAACATTATTTATATATTATACTGTATTAATACCCAGTTAGGAAAAAGGCAAAGAAAGCCAGCATTGGAGCTGTCCTGTTCATCCTAGGTGGATTTTTAAAAATTTAAAAAGTAGCTGGCAGAGTTCAAGCGAGGCAGTCCAAGGCTTAGAGGTGTTGGCCTAGCAGCTGAATTTTGGAGGGTAGAAGAGTGGGCAGGTGATCTGGGTGCTGGTCCCATCGCCTCTGACCCAGGCCCATTCTTGGGCTTGAGCTACAAAGGGTAGACGCCGAGGTCTGGACTGGAACCACTGTGGGCGGGATGAGAACTGGAAATCTTATGGCCGAATATTCCAATCTTTTCACATCACGGCGGGAAGAGTGGAAGCAGGAATCCCACTGACATCCCTTTTGTTCCCGGGGGTGGGGGTACAGCAAAATCGAAGCCGAAATTCTGCCCCAGGGCTGGCCTGAAACCTGCCTCCCACCCTGGCTGCCCTGCTCCTTTGCTCCAAAAGTAAACCATTTATTTTCTATTATTTAAAGAAATTGGCTCATCTCATAAATGTTCCAGAGTCAGAACAGGCTGTGCCATGACTGCAGCAAACCTGCTGAACAAATAAACAAAGCAGACTGGGGGTTGGGGGGCTCTGTGCCTCGGGGCCAGAGGTTCCCTCCTCTCTAATGGGGGTGGGCTGGAGTTTTGGGGTTCCCTCCAGGTCTGTCCCCTTAGTAAGTTGTACAGAGGGGAGAACTGCAGAGCTGCTAGGGCAGGAGCTTCCTCTCTGATAAATATGGGCTGAGAGCTAAAAAGCGGTGCTCTCTTCCTGAGCAAACACCGGAGCCAGCCTCAGCCATCCGCTCTTCCCCAAATGTACGTCTGCTGGGCTCCTGTCCCCTCAGAGTGTGTGCAAGGAGTTACAAGGAGGTCTCGCAAGAAGAGAAGCTAGCAGGGTCTTGCAAGCACCCACCTCTTGCCCACCCCAGGGCCTTTGCCTCTGCTGTTCCACCTAGATTACCAACCCCTCCCTTCTTCTCTTTGTCTCAGCTTGAAGTCATTCTCAGACCACCCTGCCTATGGTAGGGACCCCATCTCTCCTGTTGTTTTCCACTACCCTCAAAGATTTACAGCTCTTTATAAGTATGTATCTGAAGTCATCTGTTTTCCATCTTTCTAATGAGTATAAGTTACCCAAGGGCGAGAATTCTGTTTGTATTTGTTCTTCTGGAGCCTCAGCAGCATATGCCTGTAGGATATATGAATAATTGTTTGTCAGATGTCGTATTTTTTTAACACAGACCACCTCATTTAATTCATGTATCAGTTGTAAGAGAGAGGCATCCTTTTACTATCTGCATAGAGCACAGAGACAGAGCCTCAGGGTGGAGCTTGGATTTAAGCCCAGCCTCGATCAGGGCTCTTTCTTCACGACACCGCAGGGTCCGATGACACGAGGCCTTCTGTACCCAGCTCTAGTTTTTTGTTTTTTTTTTTTCTTTTCTACTTTTTAAATTTTGAAATAGTTTTCATTTACCAAAAGGCTATAAGACTAGTTAAAAAAAACAAACAAACACATAGTGTACTCTTCACTCGGCTACACTAAATGTCAGCATTTGGCTGTACTTGTTCTAAAGTTTTCGTTTTGAGTGTGTATATCCACATTTGTACTTATTTCTTCGTTGGAACCACTTGAGAATAAATTGCAGGCATGAAATTTCTTTGCTCTTAATACTTCAGTGTGAATTTCAAAGATCAGGGATATTTTACCAAAATGGGGAAAAACAGATAGAAATCTCTTATTTAATATACAGCCATATTAAAATGTGTTCGATTCTTCCCAGAGTGTTCTTAATAAAGATGTTTTTTCTGGTCCAGGATCCGTTCCAGGTTTCACAATCCATTTAGTTTCGTAACCCTGTAGCTTTCAGCTCAGAACAGTTCCTCGGCCTGTCCTCTTCCATGGCGCTGGTCTTAGCTAAGGGCGCAGGTCGGCCGCTGTGGGTTCTGGGCTTGGGTTGCTCACCGTTGGCTTCCGGTCAGGCCTTGACTAGCAGGGGGACCCCGCAGCAGCAAGGCTGGGTTCTCAGTACGCATCAGGGCCACAGGCTGTCTCTGTCTCGGCATCGGTGAGAATGACTTGGATGGCTTAGTTAAGGAGGTGTCTGTCAGGTGCTCTCTTTTTAGAGTTGCTATTTTGCCCTTTGTACTTTGTAATCGGGTGGAAGATGCTTTAAGGCTGTGAGTATCCTGTCCTCATCCAACTTCTGCATCCATGGATGGTTCCCGAAGGAATCAGTTGTTGATTTGATGATGATTACCAAATTGAGATCTTGTTTCTGATTTGAAAGCTGGTGTCTCTATTCCACAATGATAGGATTGGGTAGAAGGGAGGAGGGAGCAGGAGATCAAATCCTGAAAACAGCTGGTTTCTCAAATGTCTGCTGAGGTAGGTATCTGTTGTTGACTCCTCTCTTCGTTTTTCTTTCCCTCTTTCTCCTTTCTTTTTTCCTCCCTCCCCTTCTTTCTCTCTGTAGTATTAGGGAGAGAAACTCAGGGCTTTATACCTGCTAGCCAAATGCTCAGCCCTGCTTTTTTTTTTTTTTGAGACGGGGTCTCACTATATAGCTGAGACTGACCTGGAACTCACTATGTAGCCCAGGCTGGTCTCGAACTCACAGCAATCCTCCTGCCTCAGCCTCCCGAGTGCTGGGATTACAGGCGTGTGCCACCAGCCCTGCCTTTTTACTATGAGACAAGAGCTTGCTGAGTTGCCTAGCCGGCCTTGGGCTTGGGATCCTCCTGCCTCAGCCTTCTGAGTAGCTAGAATAAAAAGCATGTGCCATGGCTCCCAGCCTGGTATTGACTTTATAACTTCACTAAACAAAAAGCTAAAGAATCATATGGAATTTTTCATGATAACAGTCATTCCTAATAGATTTGTGATTTCCATTTTTCCAGCACTGACTAAATCCCAGACCCCACCTGGCATCCATGGTCTCAGCCTTCATAACAACCACGTGAGCACATATTGCCGCCCCAACTTATAGACAGTGCAGCCAAGACTCACAAAGGTTAAGGCAGTTGCTACAGTTGTGTGGCTAGAAAGTGGAAGAGCCTGGATTCGAACCAGGGACGCTGGGCTCCTAGGCCTTTGCTTTTTCCTTGGGGAGGAGCTCTGGGTTGTGTCATGGTCAGCCTTGGTCCTTGTCCCCGCAACCTCCCGGCTTAGGGGGAGTGGAGGTTAAACCAAGGGTTTTGCTTCCTGCGAGGAGGCTGGTGATGCCCCAGGCTGGTTAGCTCACAGCTCTGGCTGGGGGTCCTGACTTACGGATACTTGTGTCCTGGGCGGCCCACTGGCTGGGGTGGCCGGGGAGGATCTCCCACCCTTGCCGCTGTGCCCGTCAGCCCAGGTGGCAGAGCCATCCCAGACACTGACTCATCGGTTCCTCTGTGCTTAGAAAGGCAGGAAACTGATCTCTGGCATTGTAGAAAGTCTTTCAACAATAACCTTGAATGAGGGGATTTTCCAGTTAACCCTGGAGAATTTCAATCAGCCAGAGGCTTATTGTGTTCTTGTTCTCTGAAATGTGGTAATCCATGTACCCTGCGTGTTTATGGCAATCCTCATTAACCAGACACTCCAACCAAACAGGATTTCCCCACCAGGTAGGCTAAACTACACGACCAGGGTCACCGAGGGACAAGGAGGGCTGTGGGGATCTTTTCCCAGGGTCCTTCATTACAGAGATGAAGCTGAGGCCCGCGAGGGGATGTAACTCACTCAGGCTCATACAGCTCATTGGTGGCACAACCAGAGCTCCCAGGTCAAAGTGCTTCCCACCACCTCAAGAATTATTACAAAGCAAGAAGCTTTTATGTCTAAGGTTACCTGAAGGCTGAATTTAGCCTACAGTTTTGCTGGGCTTGCATGGTATTTTTTAAAATCGGGAAGTTTCATGGAAAATTTTTTAAAAATTGGTGTTTCTTTTGAAAATCTGGAAAAAAATCTGTCCTCACCGGACCTGATGGCAGTGAAGGGTGTGGGTGCTGAATGACAGCAATCACTCTAGCCTGGCATCAAGATGCCACTTCCGGCCGCTCCCTGTCCCCGTGGGCCTGGCCAAGCCTCCTCTTCGTGAGCTGCCCGGCCCCTCTAGGCGTTAGAATTAGGCTCTCTGCTTTAATTAAGGGTGGGGGGCAAAATGAGCCAGATTGAAAGACGGGAGTTATCAGAAGCACTTGTGTTAAGTCCCGTGTTCTGGGGATCCAGCTGGCCCTGAGCAGGCTCAGAGGAAGCTGGAGGAGAGCGCTCAGGGCTTCCCAGTGAGAAAAATGTGAGACGCTAATGACAACGGAAGAGATGTCACTTGGCGAGATGGGATTGACCAGCAGTGTGAAGGGAACAGGCAGATGTGCTGTAACAGAAGTGAGTCCGGACTTAGAAATCAACCTGTCTTAAAAGGCTGGAGAGAGGGTGGGCAGAAGACAGCCAGGGAGTTACTGTGCCGGTTAGAGCTAAGGGTCAGGTGAAGGAGGTGGGACGGGGCGAGGAGATGGACGCTAGAGAGACCCAGAGGAAGCAGGGACTGGATCTGGTGCCTACGCAGAGGAGGGAGGAGAGGGAAGAGAAGAGTGATGGGTGGAAGGAACCTCTGTGTTTGGATGTCGGGGAAGCTGTGGCCCAAACAGAGAAGGGAAGCCTGGTGGGGGGAGGCGGAGAGCTCATTTTCAGGTCGTGTAGTGTAGGTGGTTCAGGTGTGTGGTGTTGGTGGAGATGACAACGGGGTTTACATTTAGAGTTGTCCAATAGCAGCTAACATTGGGACCAGCAGTCGAGA